TATTTTCACAAATAAAAAGCCTATTAGTAAGTTAGATCACGGCGAAGTGGGACAGCTTGTCTGACAGACTGAAATAATGCTTGGTAATATTATTTTTACAATGGCAGCAATAACTGCCTATAACTTAAATATCGCATCAGAATAACCTTTTTCAGATTTAACTAACTCAAATAGTTGTCGCTTAATACTTTTTAAGTCGGCTAAACTTAACATTTTAACGCAGCATGAACATTTATGTTGAAACCATTTTTTAATGCAATTTGACTTTTTCACCTTCAGAACAAAACCAATAAATTTTAACTTGATATAAAATAAAAGGAACATCAAATTAAGATGTGTAATCAACAAAACAAATATTAGACAAATTTACAAAAATAAGGATGAATGAAGTTTGAGAGGTAACGCGTCTTTTTCTTAGCAATATTAATAAAATAATTGTACATACAATTAAATAATATGAATATAATTGTTTTGATGCACTTTTGGATATTACAGAGAAACGGTGCTTTAACTGTAAGACGGACGTAGACACTTTAGCTATTCTGTCATGTGACACCAGATTTATTTGCGTTAAAAAATGTTTAAAAAAAATTTGCGACATTTGAAGTATCAACAATTTATGTGCTAAAGTTAAACGGAAAAAGATTGTGTCGACATTTCCCAAATATTATCGACAATTGGCAAAAAAAATTATTGGATGGAAAGTTGGAAACCTCCTTATAAACTGTAAAAAAAAAAAAAAAAAAAAATGTCAGTAAAAATAGAATATCAAGGAATTTTCCGTATTTTTTCAACAGGTGTTTTACCTGTATTTTGAATTTGCATTGCATTAGGTTGTGTTTTAAAGGGTTACCGGAAATTTCCGTAAAATTACTGGAGAATGTCCCGGCAGAAAATTACCAGTACATTTCCCATTTTTATTTTTTACAGTGTTCGTGTGGACAATCAATCATTTAAATCAGATTCCAATCGGATGAACAAATGATGGGATTTGGACTGACAGCCAAACTCCAGTCAGATTTTCCTGCTTCTATGGAACAACAAAACTTGGACTTACAAAATACTAAGACATTCTCCAGTGAAAATTAAAGTCAAATTTTCAATTATTTCACTCCAAAACTTATTCTGATAAAAACATCCGTACTGAAAAAAATATGCATTTTCCCTAGTGGTCTCAGACTTCCCTCTGTATTCATCTATTAAAATCAAGCTCATCGTTTTGAGAAGGCTTATTTATCACATAATAAATATAAGCACATGGTATTTAAATCCCAAAGTGTTTTAAATGGAGAGTTTACCAAGTGGAGATGAACAGAGGAGCATTAGCAAAGAGATGCTGCGCTGAACCATTTCAGCTCCTACAAACAACAACAAAAATGAGCAATTACACATTAATTTAGCTTTTGATAAGAATGTAAAACTGATAACATTTACCTTTGGTGGCAAACGCTGAAAAATTAGCAAACTTGGATCCGATTCCGACAAACTTCACCCGTGACTTTTTATAGTTTCTGAGGGAAACGAGGACATTTGGCTCTTTTAAAGGGTCACGGTTCTTTGAATATGAGACGAATGTTGTTACGCAAGGCAAACAAAATATCTGAGCCTGAAATGTCTTATTAAATTTGATCCTATATTTTGTGTGAGCTTGTCTTGTTATAGGACTATAGATAATGAGATTTTTAAAGATCTCAGCATTCATTTCATTGTTAAACATCACAACAGAGCAGTAATTACTTGCAGGGCTTTGACCCGTCGCACAGGCAAACAGGAGGCCGATCTAAAGTGCTTCACAAAGGCACAGGCCATACATGAGGACAATCACGGCACATCAGCAGACAATGTGGGGTTTAATTACGTTTGATGGCATAGAGGGAGACAACGAGATTATTAAAAGAATAGCCTCACTTTTCATTGTCCTAAAGGCTAATGTTTTCATGATGAAAGCTCCACATAGAGACCTAGTGCGTTTTGCTTTACTATTTTTTTTAACCCAAGTAACTTAATATAATTTTTCATATCTATCTGAAATAGCAAAAAGTTGGGTTTTCCTTTAGCCCGTTTTTTTGTTTTGTTTTTGTTTATGTATATTTCCCCATGATCAAACACAGATTAACAATAAAGGGCACATTTGGTGGTAGTCTTTGTCTATTCAAGTAAAAAAAGTAAACTTTTAAACATTCCAAATCTATTGCAATTGAAAAATAAGTGGACAACATTTTCTTAGTCAGTCCCACAAAAATAATATTTAACATCTGCATCAGTACGAAACCTAAGAAAATGAGTTTTAACAGGGTACGTCTCTACAGTGACCATAGACAATTAAGCGTTCTGATTGGCCGAGAGTCTACAGTCACTGACCGTAGACTACCAATCAGATCGCAGAATTTCGAGTGTAGACAACCAATCGCAGAAGAGAGACCCTGCATATATTAGTTTATCCACACGTCGATAGCGAAGGCAAGGTTTTGTATTGGAGAGTAGCCCCAGAGTGCAGTCTGGACGATGGGGCGGGGCGACAGTTTTGGGCGGGGCGACACGTGTCGCTCCACCCACACCTGATTTTATTGGCTTATAATACAGCACTCTTATTGGCGTAGATGCTTAAGGCATGAGCATGCGCATTCCATTATGTACGAGTCTATGGTAGGAGTTTATCTACGACGCTGTTTGGCCATAGCCTACTACAGAAATAACCATGGCGATTTCCTATTTCAGTAAACAACAATGAAACATGAGTTTGCCATTAAACATTTTATTTTGCACTTTGTAGCCTACCAAATAATGCACGCATTGGACAACATCTCGTTAAAAAATGAAACAAAAACGGTCGTGCTTTAAAAATTTAAATCAGCTGCTATCAAGCTACATTCTTACAGTGAATTGTCATCCTTTGCGTAAAATCCCGAGTTTGTGCTGATCCACCGATCCTGTAACCTGACTCCGCCAGATGGATTTGCTCCGCATATCCATCTGGAAACCTTCCGTTGAAGTAGTTTTGGTAAAGGGCGAAAATACTGGTTAGCTGATTGGCCTATGTTGATGATAGACGGGCCAAATCAACCAATCAGATCAACGAAGCATATGACGTACTAACAGAGCGTATCTTTTCCTCTGAGAAAAGCCTCCAGAGCTGTGTTTTGCTCTTCTTTCAGTGAAGAAATACTCTGTAATTCCGATAAAACTGGCTCGATAGCCACGCTGATGCTAGTTTCATCCGCTGAAGCCGACATGTTCTTTAGACTGAACTGACGCGCTTCTCGTTGCGTCACACCTCAACCCGCCTCAAAGCCAACGCTGATTGGACGTTCGTTTGGTGAACTGCTCCCAAATTTTCTTTAACGGAAAGTATCCAGACTGATCTGCGAGTGAAACCTTTAAAAAGCTCGCGAGATCAGGATGGTCTCACGAGGCTACCGATCCTGATAGAAGTATAAAGAAGCCAAGTGAATGACGCGCTATAATGTAAAACATCTCACTGAAGTAGGCCTACATGTGCTGTGTCACCAAGCGTTCGTTTTTAAACAATAACTTAATCTATTCTGTGTCATAAGTACAATAAAACAGCAATAGATCTTAACTAAAATTACCATGGTAAACCGATAAGATAGCCATACGATTAAAGTATTTAATAGTTCTTTAATACGGCCAAATCATTCATAAAATCGTACTTAAAAGAATGCGCATGCTCAGACCTGAATCGTCTACACCAATAAGATTGCGGTATTATAAACCAATAAAGTTGGGGGTAGGCGGAGCGACACGTGTCGCCCTGCCCAAAAGTGTCGCCCCGCCACATCGTCCAGACTGCACTCTGGGGTACTACGTATTGGAAGTCACACGATCTGCATAAAACCCCAAAAAACGAGTGATTCGGAAGTAGATTAATATCTATTATGATTGTGCCCCTTAAATGACACGTGATTAGCTCGATTAGCCTAGCTCACCTTGTGGAATTGATCGCTGCAGAAAGTTACAGTCCGTACAGTATATAACCTAATATATCATATCTGACTCATACTACTCTAAATTACATTGTACCCCTTATTAAAACTTAATTTATGCATTTAATCTGACATACCACATTATTAAGCAATAGCATATTCCTCAACTTATGAACAAAAACATACAATGCATATTTTCAGAAGTTAAATATGATGATATGAATTAACTTTAATCAACTAATCATGGCTTTCATTATTCTCATAACTTCTCATAACTTCTATGAACAGCACAGAATTGTTACAACTGTAGTCTGTCGAGACTTTGGTCAATTCATAAATCATGTTACTTACACTCACCCATATTAGGCCATGCATCGTCTAATGTACAATGATGTATTTTACATAATGAACTACATAGTAAAGATACATTGGTCCTTTATTAATCTATGCAACTGGGATGCTTTAAAAACACTGAACAATACATAAAAAAATGTAAAACATAAAAGTATTTTGTATATAAACTCAGTAACCAGTTGTAACAAAATAAAGTCACTACAAGAATATTGATTTCAAGACAATAACAGACTGAAAGACATTTCAAGCATTAAGAAAACTAAGCAGTGTTTACAGTTCAGAGCTGTATTCCCGTTATTGGGGAACAAAATAATGTATACACTTGACAGCATTTTATAATCATAAATGCATGGGATAAACCGCTGTTTTTCAATTATGTATTACATTTGTGTGACGAGTGGAACGAGTGATTATTATAGTGACATTTTATTTAACAATTTCTGTTAGTATCACTGAACCAATAGAAATGTCCATATCCATTCAAATAATCAAATAGCTATTCATAATTATGCATATTCATTTTTGCAATAGAAACATTTAATAATAATAATGATAGAACTGATACCCAGCAGATTTCACATCATTACAGTTCGATAATGTTGCAGAAATTTAACATTACACGGTTAAACAGTCATAAATCAAATGTAAACAAGAATAGTTCTGCTAATCAAAATCATACCGCTCTGTTCTTGACCAGTATATTAGGGGAGAGCGCGATCGCAGTCCCCCACTATCATAAATTCTACAGTCGAGATTTCCACATTTGGGGATTTCGTAAGGGTCAACAAAGTCAAGAGTGCAATGGCTGAGTCTCGCCTTGGGAGAACCATCGTCACGATCATGGAGTCTCCCCTGCTCGGTAAGTATGAGTTCTCTAGCGAGACTGAGGGACAGTGACTTCAGCAAACACGAGTCTCGGTGACGGTGAGGGACACGTCGCGCCATACGAGTCAACGGCAACTAGATGAAGATTCATGTTAAAGTTTCGCTGTTAATCAAGCTTTTAATAGCAGCAGCAACAGAAACAAAAAATTATCGCTTATTTTGTGGCGAACAATTTCCGTGATGCAACACAAGCGTCCACCAGCCAATGGAACAATAGATGTTCAAAATCATATTTTAAGAACTCAATAATAAGAGTATTGGAACCTAATTCGAAAATTAGAAAGAAAGGGTTAAACAATTCACCTTTTTGGGGTACACTATTTGAAATATATTGTTTTTCATCGGTTTTATTATTAAAAAGCAACCATGACGTAAACCACGCATCATCGTCTACATCACTTCCGGGAAATTAAAACAAGGGGTGCGCAAACCGCAAACAAACTCGTAGTAGCAATATAACTGGAGAAAGATTTACAGCCTATGATCGAAACAGGTTTCTGCTCAAAAATATATATTTTAGTATATTCTACTATTAGAACAATCATTATAAATATGAACGTGAGCGTGTTGTTTTAAGACATCCGCCAGAGGGCAGCAGAAGCGCTCATTCATCCTAAAACCAACGAGGAAGAGTCTCAGTCAGCTGGTGTGTTTGATGAACTGTCTGTGTAACACACATACGAACTCGAGTTACAACAGTAGAGTTTCTTAAAAGATTTTCTTGATATATCTTGACTTGAGTCACTTCAGCAACGATATATGACATATATAGGCGGTTTAGCGCTTCTCTATGAGAGTATAATATAGTAGCTATATGAGAGTAAACAGATAAATGTTCTCTGTAAAAAGTGGGATATGAGCAGAAAACGAGCGCTGATCGCAGACACTTTCTGCTTAAAGAGACGCAGATCCGCAGCTGACGCTGTTGCCGGAGACAGTCACGGTAAGATCTGTCATTTACCCCCTCATGCAGATCAAAAACACTTAACATTAAATAGACATTATAAAGTAATGTGTCAGTTGACGTCTGTCCTCCTTAAAATATTACTTCTGTTAGGCTCCAGATATAAATATGGATTCATGCAATCAATGTCACTGATTTAGTACACCATTACTCGGCCAATGTTGTTTAATCTCCAACTGCTTTAGTGAAAATGTGAGTGTGACGGGGAATACAGCACCTGTCACTCACACGAGATCCACCAATAGCAAACCACAACCATCCAATCAAAAATCAAGCCCCGCCCTACTTTAAGTAAAATTGTAATATAATGTAAGAACGCATATGACTTTCTGAACAGTAATTATTTGAATGATTTTTGAAGCATCTTAAAGTATGTAAATATATTAATATGGCACGATACACATGCTATTACAGGCTTAAAATACTACTCTCCGCTCCGGTTTCACAGACAGGGTTTAGATTAAGCCAGGATTAGGCTTTTGTGCAATTAGGGCATTTGAGTAGTTAATATAAATCTGCCTTAGGAAAAAAAAAAAAACATAACTGATTGGCATCTTGAGATAAATCAATGCTTTCAGTTAAAGGTACAATATGTAAGAATTTTTTAATAAAATATCCAAAAATCACTTGCACAGTGTGATATATTTCCTGCAGTTGTGTACAGTACTTATAATATCCCAAAAGTCTCCAAAGATTTTTTATTTCAGAGAAATTCCAATTTTAAATAAGTGGCTGTCCTGGAAAAAAATGTGACGCAATATCAGCGCTATCCTCGGTTTCCGCCCGTACTGCCATAGACACTTTCAACACACATTTAAATGCTGTTTAGTGTGATAGTGTAACGTTAGACCAAGTGAAACAGCGCTGCGTTACCTCAAGTTTAAAAATTACGGAAAAAAATTACATATTGTAACTTTAAAACAGCTCACTTTAGTGTGGGACTATCTTAATCCTTTGTCTGTGAAACCTATTTCTGAGTGAAATGAGGTAATACACAAATGTGTGAATCTGATGTATGTAATGAAATAAGGTGTGTGTTCAGCAGAAGGAGCAGCTGATATCCGCTCAAGCTTGCAGAACCTCATGACACTGTTCTCACGCAAACTCTTCAACGACAGCCTCCCTCCAGTGGTGCTGAAACACCAGCTGTACAGTTTACACAGCGACAGAACCTCCGTGGACAAGCAGCTGGTGAGATCCGCTTGTGCTAAAGTATTCATCCTCGCAAAGCGCTGATGATTTAATAACGACCTTAGCACAGTCATGATGAGTAATGTGGCCTGTAGCACATCTTTCTTTAAAAACTGGTCATAACTTCAACCTTCATCCTTCCCTCGCACTTTGTAACACATCTTTCTCTCGCGGATCAAATGACCCGAAAGCCCTAAAATTATGTGTTGTTGTTTGTTTTTTCCAGAAAGCTTATTTTATTTCATTTTGGTAATATTTTTTTGTATTTTTTAATCCAATTTTTTGGGGAGATTTATTTTTTATTTGTATTTACCTTTAAATTACTAGATTTGATAGTAGGGGTGTAACGGTTCACAAAATTCACGGTTCGGTTCGATATGATACAGCAAAAAGAAAGAAATGCCAGAGAAATATCCTTGATTTAAAAAATAAATTATTTATTAAAACTAACATCATAAAGTCTGATCTGTTTTTACTTTGAACAATGATAGAGCTACTTGACCCACCTCCTGGGGTGTCTTCTTAGCATATAAAACAAAAACAGCTCCTTATCATTTTTAAAAAATATATATTGTAGTAGGCTAGTTATAAACAAAGGTTTATTTTATATCAGTATTATTTTAAGTTTGCAAGGTTCCGGATTAACATTTGAGGGCAGCAATTTTATTAATAATGTCGATCGAAATAATAATTCAAAAGTAAAACGATTAAAAATAAATATTTGGGAGTGGAAATGGCAGCCACCGACCGGTTACAATCATAATTTAAATTTAAAATATATATATTTATGAGCAAATTCCTCACATTCTTTCGACTTAAATTCAAAATAACACAATTTCATGCATAACCCTTTTAATTCAGCTCAAAATATCTTACATTGGGTGTCTTTGCCGACCTCTTGTGGAAAATAAATAAATAAATAATATTTTAGTAACATTTTTAGTTTGAATTTTGAGCATTTTTAGGGTTGTCTGTGTGTACTGAAGCATTCCTTGCATCCCATTTATTCCTAAGGGGGTCAAATTGACCCGAGAGTCAATGATTTGTTACTTTTTTACATTTCAACCACAAAACTCCTCGAGTCCATTTAATTTTTTTGTGTGTATTCGTGGTTTAAGTGCGACAAAAGTCCAAGGGTCTTGGACCCCTCTAATGAACAATTTTTAAAAGCTTTTTAAAAAAATTGTTCGGGTTCAAAAGGACCCAAGGATGAGGTTTGAGTAAGTTACTCTTTGATTTGTCAAATTTGAATCCGAAAAGTAACCAGATTACCCCTTGGCTAACCGCTAGCTGGTCATGCTAGCTCTTAACAGTGTTTCTGCAACTGGTTTCTCCTGCTCAGAATGAGTTGCGGGTGAGCGGCGAGCTGTTGATGTTCCAGCTGGGCTTCGACTCAGAGGCTTTCGCTCTGGTGTTTGCTGAAGACTACAGAGCCAAAGTCCTGCAGGGCGAAGCCGGAAGAGAAACACTGGAAACTGTGGAGAAATTCCTGGATAAACTAATTCCCGGCTGCTCCGATCTGAGCTTCAACAAAGAAAAGATGATGAAGGAGTTCCTCTTCACGGACTCTGAGATCACGTAAGGACACAAATGCTGGTTTGTTGTTCATTAGCCGTGTTTCCACTGTCGGGCCAGTGCGAGCCGGGGCTGTAAACGGGCCGGGCGGGGCTAATAGCCTCGGACCTGGAGCACCGGGCCCAAAACCTGCTGCATTTCCACCGTCGGGCCTGAAGCTCCTCAGCGCTTCACTAAAACACGCCCGTAACACACCTCTCTGGAACAACGACACACAAACCCTTCATTTCACCAACAAATGGAAGTTTTATCAGAAAACTAATCAGAAAGAAATCACTGGAAACAGCGAGATCGCAAGACTGGACTGGACTTTCACAAAACCGTAGCTACTTATTCAGTCCGTTTCTGTTTATTTAGTCACAGGACAGTGTGTTTATATCACATTTAGAAAGAATAATCATTTCTACAAATATGCCACCAAAAATATGACCTGAGGAGCTTTAGCACTCTCTCCCAATATAGTTATATTTTCAATCAGAGAAACAGAGGAAGCTCTCGAAAAACCGGAGTTGGTTTATTTTATGACATGTGGAGCTAAATGTGGATATCAGACAGTCCGGTATAAAGAGACGAGACGTTCTCACAGATAAAATATATACACCATTGTGATAGCCTATATGATTTGTCTGATTTCTTCACATGTTTACTATGGTAATGGTTATTGCCCATAGTCTTTTACATCACACATAAATATTTATGCGGTGATCAGAATCCACATCGGGTATACACAGAAGGTATTCAAACATGAAAGTTTTGAGCTAAAAAGATTTTAAAAGTCTTTAAAGCTGATGTTAGCTGGTATAATGTGTGTCCTAGTGGAGAGGGTTCAAAACTTTAAATTCCTGGGAACCCTCATCTCGGACCGACTCACATGGACGGACAATATCACAGCAGTGGTAAAGAAGGCACAACAGCGTCTGTATTTCCTCAGACTCCTTAAAAAAAACAATCCATCTGAGAAGCTGTTGGTGCATTTCTACCGTTCCTCCATAGAGAGCATCCTGGTATACTGTGTAACTGTGTGGTACGATGGATGCTCTGCAGCAGACAAGAAAAGAATACAGAGAGTGATCAACACAGCACAGAAGATCGTTGGTTGTCCCCTACTCTCATACAGGAAATTGCTAATTCAAGACTGCTGTCTAAAGCCACCAAAATTGCACTTGACTGTTCTCACCCTGGTTACCCGCTGTTCGAACTGTTGCCCTCAGGGAGACGCTACAGATGTCAAAAAACAAGGACTAGTAGATTTAGGAATAGCCTTTTTCCTGAAGCAATAACAGTCCTAAATGAAGCCAAACTTTTTATTTTTTTATTTTAATGATGCAGTTTGCACAGCTACTCAGCACTTTGTTACATTAGAATATTTATTATCCCCTTAGTAGGAAGTGTAGCCTGACTTTGTCATACTCATATTCTAGTCAGAATGTGAGTCTGATACTGCTCCATAGGGCTTTGAGGCCATCCTTAAAAATATTTTGGTTTGCAGTAACAGCAAAAAAAAAAAAAAAAAGGGTCGGTAGGTAGGTCTATATTTTTTTTTTTTCAAGATTCAATGTAAAAAAAAAGGATAATTTTGGTCATGGTGATTAGGTCGGTATGAATTTAAACAAATTTGCATATCGTGACGTCACTGACTGGGTCTTCAACCCCCATGCCTTCGGGCGCACCATTGCGAACCTCATTCTGATACAGGTTATAGACCACAAACAATTTGAAATCTTTGTAAAAAAAAACATATTTATTGCATTAATTCCAGCTGCATTCATTTGGAAAAAAATAGGCAGAATAAAAAAAAAAAAAAAAAAGGAGCCACTAGATTTCAATGAAAGTGGATTTTCAGAGGGAAACAAATAAATTAAAATGACTAATCTCACCAGCGCCGCACCGACCAATAAAACAGCGCGTTTGGCACCATTCGTTTACATTTGACCCATACTGTTACAAGCCCCCTTTCTGGTCTAGGGGCAGGAAAGGAGGGTAACAAAAAGTTGCAGGGAGAGAGTGAGAGATTTGACCCATAAACATCTGCTATTATTAACGGAAATCAGTGTGGTCAAATGGCTAGGCGCATTGTAGGAAACTATAGGCCGATTAAGTAGTCCTGACATATTATGGAATGGTCGATTTTCTTTTGTGCAATTTAGTACATTTCGGTATGGGATGTGCTGTTTTATTGGTCAGCGTGCCGCTCTGACCATTGGCTGGCGCAAGCAAACACTTCTCTCTGCGCTGTCGAGTCTGTCGCGCTCGCGCGTCTCGGTCCATTGAGCCACGCAGATTACAAGTCAGCGCAGCGCGAACTCTGTAACACACCGCGCTGTTTCGTCCCCCTTTCGGTGTGTTTGGCTTCCCACACTTATGTGTGTTTGTTTGTCAGAGCCTGCAGTTGCTGTGTGACGTGCGTTCGCGGTGGGCATGTCATGACGAGCTGGACGCGCTCCGAGGAAAGGCCGTTAACATCGATTCCCTATTTGAATTTCGAATAATGAGCGACTAAATGTAGGCTCATACAGACGTATTTCACAAGCAGCCGCGCCGCAGCCATCATCACCGAGCGCGAACCATTGACCGTGAATGAAACGAAGCGAACGCACAGGCCATAGTGTGACATGCGTAAACCAATGGTGTAAACATAATCATAATAGATGACGCCACGGGTTTTTATTTAAAAGAAAGAACGTAGCCTACGCAATTTATATTCACAATACTTACTATAATAAATGTATATTATTTTATTGCATTTGTATTAGTTGTTTGAAGAGTAAAAAAAAAAATCGGTCGGTCTTAATGCAAGTTTACAACCGGCAAGTCGGTCGGACTAAAAGGGGAAAAAAATAAAAAATTGGGTCGGTCCTAATTTGACAGGGTCGGTCGGGTTACGGCAAACAAGAATATTTTTAAGGATGGCCTGATTATGAGCCGTGTCTTAACCAAACCAGGAAGAAAAAAAACTCTGCACTCAATTGGATAGACCTACAACCAATGAGAGCAACGCAGTAAGTCAACTACTTTGCATAGCACAGTTGTCAACTACAGAACTCAAATGCACGCACGCTGGAAGAAGTAAAATAACGAGTGTTGCTTCTTTTACTTGGCCCTCTATGAGTGCGACCAAAGGAGAAACCACAACGACCACAGGGTTTTCATTGCGTCCCATCTTCTTAGTGACCATCGGAGCCAGCTGATAAATTAAACTTTTGCCGAATCCCGTAGGAAGGACGGCAAACACATCTTTCCGATCGACAAATGCCTTGATTGCAGTTCTATGTTCGTCTATTAAAATGAATGCGCTGTCGATTTCTTTTACAACAGACGCGATGCTGAATCTATACATCTCAGTTCTCCAGCGGCAGTCATCTGTGAGGGAAACCAGTTCAACCCAAGCGCTCTTTGATAACGTGATGATTACGTCCCTGCAGATCATCTGTCCATCATCGTATAAAGCCCGCCCTGGCAATTTGATTGGCCCGAACATTTTTTGACTGATCATAATTACTCCTCAATGGAGCGAGTCCAGACCGAACTTCCCGACCAAAAAATGTTGTGGGCGGGGTTCGGGCTGGCATCCAGGCTATAGGAAGTGGGTAAATTGGGTTTTAAAATTAATATGTTGTGTGATATGTTTTATATATTGTATGTGTTTTAATGATGCACCCTACTAGAGTGGCTCTATAATTTCATTGTATTTAAATGCAATGACAATAAAGGCATTCATTCATTCATATATGGGATCATCCGTCACTGCCGTCTCCTGACTCAGGTAAACTCCGCCTCTGTTTGCAACCACTCCTCAAGCCCGCTTTGGACCAAGGTATTTGGCAGGCCAAAACCCCCTGGCCGTTGGCCCCGAGGAGCCCTGACAAGGCTAGGGCTGGGTCCGAGTTCGGTACTTTTTAGGTACCGACCGAAATGCCTCGATACTACCGAGTATCGAAACATGTCTTGTTTTTCGGTACCAAATTTCAGTACCTAAATGTTGTTAATCTCGTCAACGTCAGTGAAACAATAAGCATGCAGTATGATTGGCTGTGGCGGAAAAACACTAGTTTACACGGCTGCCCAGAGACGTGGCTCGTCGCACGTGAGGCTGTAGTGTGTGTGTGTGTGTGTGTGTGTAAGCGTCCCAACCCAGATAGAAAATATGTGGAAATGACCCAAAGTGTACCTATGTGCCAGACTCGATGCCAGAAGCACGCGATGCAATATTTACGACAAGATAATTGCCGCCAAGAACGGTAACACGGTAAATCTGATAAGGCACTTAGAAGCACACAGAATACACTTGAGAGTAATGGTGTGTTCACACCGAACACGAATAGAGCGTCTATCGCGTCTAGTTAGACGCTTGAATCTTCCGCTCGAGTTCAAATTTTTCAACTTGCGCCCGGCGAATGATGCGTCTAATCGCGTCTTTGCATTGACTTTGTATGTAATCTACTCGCACAAATAATTAAATTCGCGTTCGGTGTGAACACACCATTAGTAAACACTTGTTCATTAATAAACAATTAAAATCTCCTTGCTATTGTTTCCACATCCATAATCATTAGGCTACTTTTGCCAGTGCTTTGCGGCAAGCTTCACGTGCTGAGCGCGAGGCATATATCCCGCCCCCCAGTAGCCTATATTTAATTTAATTCACATTTATTTGTATAGCATTTTTCACAATACATATCGTTTCAAAGCAGATTTACAGAAAATGCATGTGTCTAAATTACAATTTAGAGTGATCTGTTATCAGAGGTGACAGTGTAATGCATTTCAATAAATTTTCATTCAGTTTCATTGTTAAACAATGCATTAGGTTAAGGCAGAAACAATGAGCTCATTGAAGTAAAGAATACATGTTGTTAAATGATTAGGAAACATAGAAAACTTTAGCATTGGTGCTTTTTTACATACTCAAAATATGAGTGTAAAAAAGTCAACAAACTGAAAAAAAAAAAAAAAAATTAGGTAATGTTATATTGTTAAAACTGGTTACATAAATTTGGTATCAAAAAAAGTATCGTCAAGGTATCGGTATCGAACATTTTGTTACGATACCCAGCCCTAGACAAGGCCCGATCAAGCCCCGGAAGTTAAAGTGCAAACTCGACAGAGTTTTGAGCTTGGGTTCGCGAATGCCCCTGGCATCCCTGCCCCTGGCACCCCTGCCCCTAGAACGCCCGTTTTTGGCCCGACAGTGGAAACGCAGCCATTGTCTCAGGCACTTTATCTAAAGATGGTTTCTGGCTTGCAGGCAGCTGGTGAAGTCGGGCGTCCTCACGGTGAGGGACACGGGCAGCTGGTGGCTCTCAATCCCAAACTCTGGCAAATTCATTAAGTACTTCATCAAGGGTAGGTGTGTTTACCACAAGACTCACGATCAGCGCTTTAACTATTGCTACTGCATTATATCCGATTTTATAACAGGGCGCAAAGCTGTTCTTGGCATGGTGAAGAAATCCAGATACGGTGAAATCCTGAAGACTGAACTTGAGGGACGCCACACAACTTCACATGTTAAATTTCAGATGAAGTATCACATTCATGATATAGTTGGAGCAGAGTTAGTAGAATGGTAAGAGCACTGTATGAAACAATAGATTTGAGTTGTAATGTGATGACTAATTATTGTTTTGTGTGTGTGTGTGTTTGTTTGTAGCATACAGACAACATCAGGGACATTATTACGATACGTGGACGGAAACATCAACTAACAGCTTCACCCGCTTGCCTTGGATTGTACAGAATTGAATAAACTGTATAATGTATTTATTGCCATATTATTTTGGTTACAAAATGATGAACAGCAGAATGAATGGTGCACAATATATTTAATAAAAGTTTGCCGAACCGCAATTGTCAAATGGACTTATTTTTTCTCTGTTTGCTGTCTTTGGCAAAATCAAAGTTAAATTAACTCTGTTTAGAGCACATATGGTCCCACTCTAAAGAGTGTTAAAGTAACTCTGAATCAGGGTACGTTTACACGACAACGAAATGCTTAAAACTAATGCTTAGTTTTTCCTTTGAGTTTGCCGCGTACAGGCGACACCATTGTTAAAACGATCCCCATTCACACGGATCCACGAAAACAGCTAAAAAGGCTGTATTCTGATGCCAAGCCAGTAGATGGCGATGAAACACTGTAGACTGAACACGTAATAGGCATGTGCATGACGTCTTGTTTACACGGAGACCGTTCTCAAAAAACTTGCACTTTGAAACCCGTTTTCAAAAGTTTCCGTTTCCAGGCACCCAAAACGCCTAAGCGCATAAAATGTTTTAAATTTTTAGTTGAAAACGGTGTCGTGTAAACAGGCCCTCAGAGTTAAAGTTAATGAGATAATTAAGTGATGATTGTACATTAGTGATGAACACCTGCTGTTAAAGGGATAGTTCACCCAAAAAAATGTATTAGCCCATGATTTACTCACCCTCAAGTCATCCTAGGTGTATATGACATTCTTCTTTCAGACGAATACAATCGGAGTTATATAAAAAATGTCCTGGCTCTTCCAAGCTTTATAATGGCAGTGAATGGCCGTTTCTGTTTTGAAGTCGATCAAATTGCATCCATCCATCATTAAAGTGCTCCTGCTTGATCGATTGCTCCTGTCTGCCTCGCTGCCTGCTGTGTGAGTGTGTTTGCTCCGAGGCTGTAAGCGCCGTCTAAGCCTCGTATTTCTTTCTGTTTTGAACCATAATTTACTATCATTTCTAGTTGTTTATACTACTAATTACAGTTTACCTAACATCTCAGACTAACCTAACATCGCTAGCTTCCGTTATTGTTAGCACAACACGCTAGTATCTCGCTAGCCTGTTAACACGCCGCCCTTGCGCTCAGTTGTTTATTTATTTTTCTCGTGCGCGCCCGCGCCTCTGAGTTCATACACTCAAAAAAATAAATTGTTGAATGAACGTGATTTAATCAAATAAATTGTTGAATGAACGTGATTTAATCGTATCACCCATTATGCATCTAATCAAATCAAGTAAACTTGAACTACTTTGAATATTTTATATGAACACAATATACATTTGTAGATTCAACATGATTGTAATATGTCAATGTAACTTCTTTACAACTAATTGAATCAAAATGTTTGTATTGTGTTAGTCTAATCAAATGTATTCTTATCCACTCAATAGCTGCGTTTACATGGTTCAATCGGAATGAAATCAATCCGATTGATGAATTCGAACACGGTGTTTACATGAACGATAAATAAAGTAATCGGGTTGATGTGCGCGTTTATATGTCACAAGATTCAAATCGGAATTGATTTTTTGACATGCGCACTGCACGAATATGCTGCTGTTCGCGCATAACTATTCTCCTCTATTTTGGTGCTTTATTTGTTTTAAACAGCAGACTTAATATATTTATCCGCCTCTGGTCATGATTTGTAGACGATGAGCATGAACCGTTTTGTCGTGCTGCTTATATTAATCATGCAGTAAAACCCCGCGCCCAAAACCAGTCGTCCATGGATGAGAGTCTGAAACAAGCACTGCTGGGACGCTGTCCTGCTCCACTTCACAGACGCTGAGTGAAATGAGAATTTTTTAATAACGGAACACTCATTTATATTCACTTTATTCACCAGGAAGAACAGCTCGTTCCGTGCGTCATACGTCATTACGCTATTTCAACGTCATTGCACATGCGCAGTCCTTTTAGTTTCGGTTTTCAATCCGATCAAGTGTTTACATGTTCTCTCGAGCGGATTACAAAAGGAGTAAACCACCCCTTTCAATCCGATCAAAATTTCAATCGGATCGAGCTCAATCGGATCGATTAAGGTGTTTACATGAAGGTTTTTTAGTCCGATTGAGCCGTCAATCCGATTATAAGTGTCCATGTAAACGCAGCTAGTGTCAGTAAAGCACTTCAATTCAACAAAATTCTACCTTGTTACATAAACTAGTTAATGTCTTGTTTTGGTAGTTGATTGAGCATTATTGAAGACACCTGATGTTAACAAGCAAAATCACTGAAGGAGAAAACCATAATTTTTAAGTCACCGTTATAGAGATCAGTGTTTGCTTTAGTTGGGCTCTTGACCCTTAAAACATTATCTTTAGAATTTGTTTGGCTGCTGTTTCTGAGTTATAACAGCTAGAAGAACAAATGATCATGGTCATCTGATAGTGTTGGTTGTGTTTAAACATAATCATTATTTCACAATCATTTGACCTGAATCACTGAAGTAATATAGAGCCCATATGTTTAGGATTAATTTATTAGTTATAGCAGCACTGTCCTTATTCAGCATCATATTTTATCATTTACAATGTAATCTAAAGATTTTTTTTAATGTGTCTTATATACAAAAAACCTATTATTTTGATTCTATTTAGTTTTTTTAGACACACAGACATCAATAATCAGCCTGTGAATCTCAACAATGGTGACAATAATAAAGCATGTTGCAGTGCATTCTGGGTGCCACCAATCAAAACTCATTCATGGCTCCAATCATGCATTGCTGCATGAATAAATAATGAGCTTATGTTCAGAGGTGATCTGTTTGTCACCATTGCTGAGACTCATACGCTAAATATTGATGTCTGTGTGTGCCTATATAAAGAATCTTCAAAGTTTTCTTTTTATTGACTTGATCATTTGGATTTCATTGAAGAGGTCAAAAATATTATGCTGCACAAGGCCAGTGCTGCTATAATTAATAAAATAAACCTAAATTGGGCTCTATATTAGTTCAGTGATTCCGGTCAAATGCTTGTGAAATAATGATTATGTTTAAACACAACCAACACTATCAGATGACCATGATCATTTGTTCATCTAGCTGTTATAACTCAGTAACAGCAGCCAAACAAATTCTAAAGTTAATGTTTTAAGGGTCAAGAGCCCAACTAAAGCAAACACTGATCTCCATAACGGTGATTTAAAAATTATGGTTTTCTCCTTCAGTGATTCTGCTTGTTAACATCAGGTGTCTTCAATAATGCTCAATCAACTACCAAAACAAGACATTAACTAGTTTATGTAACAAGGCAGAATTTTGTTGAATTGAAGTGCTTTACTGACATTGAGTGGATAAGAATAAATTTGATTAGACTAACACAATACAAACATGTTGATTCAATTAGTTGTAAAGAAGTTACATTGACATACGTATTACAATCATGTTGAATCTACAAATGTATATTGTGTTCATATAAAATATTCAAAGTAGTTCAAGTTTACTTGATTCAATTAGATGCATAATGGGTGCTACGATTAAATCACGTTCATTCAACAATTTATTTTTTTGAGTGTATAAAGCCCAGGTGAGTAAGAATCAGTCAACAAACACGGTGAGTAATGTCTTGTCCTGGTATTGTTGCTACCTGCACCTCATGCCACATGTTTATCATAGCCTTCCCCGTCGGCAATATAGGGTTTATATGTGATAAATGCAAGGAGACAGTCAGGCTGCAAAGAAGATTTCAGAACTAGAGACACGCATCCAAACTTTAATTAAGGATAGTAAGTGTTCTCGAGCCTTAGATACTACTTTGGATGCGCCTAAGTAGTATTAACATAAACCATGTGTCAAAAAAGGTGTTTTATGACTTTGATTTATGGTTCTGAGGTTCCCCTGTCTCTGATTTATGATGGGTCGCTGACAGGCTCCGGTATGTCTAGGCTGCTCGACGCCATGTGACATCATCCGTGCCGATGTCCGGGTACTTTTAAAAGACAAACAAACAGATCAAACAGATGTTAAATTTTTGACTGTTTTTTACGACTGGGTTAATGAACTCACACCTCGCAACTTGCCAATGTAGTTTTTATGGTATGAGGTGTGCCTTTTTTTACAACTACGTCACTACCTACGTCTTTTGTTGCAGTTTTAAATAAGGTTAGGGGTTACACTGTTGAACACAGAAGACATTCTACGACTTTCCTGATACAATGGCTAGTCCGAGAACTCCTAAAACCCCTAGAAAGGTTATGTGTATTTCGCCGACAAGAGGGCCTGTTGAAATGAGAGAAGATCTAACTTTTGCTCCAAGGAAAAAGCTAAATGTTAGCTTGACAAGATTTCTTCATGAAGACAGTGCTCTTGTGAAACAGGATTTCTCAATGTCTGGTGGTCGTGTGGTGAGGTATGTGTTTGACAAGGTGATGCGTACTGTGAAACTCTACACAGGAGACGTTGAAGCCGATTTTACATCACAGACCCCATGTGTGATTTTCCACAAGAAGGACTGGTTTCTCTTTTTCAACTACGTTTGGAGAGATTTGAATGACTGTGGTGATGATCCATTGTACGTAGCCGAGTGGGATGGCTCAATTCCTGACACAAGATTTCGTGTGGTCGGGGACCATAGTAAAAAGTTACCAGACGATTGTGTTTATATTTTCTGCTGCAACGACAAGACAAAGCTCTGCGAACGTGCGTGGCCTGTTCGTGAATCTGAGCATCACTTGTGCTACGACATGAAATTTTTGTTTCAGTGGAAAGATGTTCGTACGCTTGACAACGTATTTACATGCATTGACAAGATGTTTAGATGGTGCGACATGTATGACCGTTACAGTTCTGTAAAGATTAAATTGTTTCACCCTGAGCAGGGCGTTACCAAAGCTGAAGACCGCCTCTTAACCCCACCCACGTATTACAGCCATTAAAAACGCCTGCAGATCGGTACAATTGCTACATTCATTCACCATGTCTCAAGAATCTACAACAGTCTACTGCTACACCAACAACCCTGAGGCTCCCCCAGCGATGCCTGATGACAATGCTACGCCGCTGGAGCCCCACCCACAAACTTGCGAC